CACGTCCCCTTGCAGATCGCCTGGCGCGTCCCGTGGGACGTTGCGGCGCGTCCTCCTGCCATGTCCCCCTGTCGATTAGTTATGTGGCAGCTACCATGTGCTCAGGCAGCTCGAGCTTAAGATCCACATCAGTTCGGTCAGGACTCGGATGCCAGGGGGGACTCGATCCACAACGCTATATGTAGAGCACAATCGCGGCATGGCACATCGCAGTTCAGCTCGGCCCAGCACAGCACAGCCGTCGGCACGGTACATCAAGATCGATGCACTCAAACTTGCACCTTGGCACGTTCTTTGGCGCGTTCCGTGGCGAGTCCCCCTGGCACGTCGCGCGGCGCGTCCCCCTGGCACGTCGCGCGATGCACGTTCATTGGCACGTTCCATAGCGCGGCCCCTTGGCACGTCCCGCGGTGCGTGCCCATGGCACGTCCCCTGGCACGTCGCCTGGCGCGTCCCTTGGGACGTTGCGGCGCGTCCTCCTGCCATGTCTCATCTGTCGATTAGTTATGTGGCAGCTACCATGTGCTCAGGCAGCTCGAGCTTAAGATCCACATCAGTTCGGTCAGGACTCGGATGCCAGGGAGGACTCGATCCACAACGCTATATATAGCACAATCGCGGCATGGCACATCGCAGTTCAGCACGTCGTAGCACAGCACAGCCCTCGGCATAGTACATCAAGATCGATGCATTCACATTCCGCATTGCATCTGCCCGTCGCCCAATCAAGTGTCTTTGAAACGTCGCCAAGCCTTACAATTCTATATTATTTTCCGGGTTCGTGGGTCGATCACGTTATACATATGTATGTATGTATGTATGTATGCATATATATATATATATATATCAAAACATAGGAAAATCAACATAAACAAATGAGTGCGTCTCCGCTTGTGCTGCGCGTGGGCACGGCGGCACGGGGGCCCTTATTCTCAGGACTGCGTAGGTCATCGCACCCCCTGGGCGAGAGAGGCAGCCTTGCCCGGATCCTGCCGGGCCGCCGCCCTCCCGAGAAAGGGTATTGGGTGGCTCGGGCCACTGTCCTTTTCAGAGCCTGCCTTTGAGTACACGCCGTGCAAGAATGGGTCTGGACGATCCGCCCTCGCCTGTCCCGCCGCGGACCAGAGCTCCCCTGGCCTCTTCGTCGGGGGGGATGGTGGGATCGGTTTGAGCTGAGGACCTGGGTCGACATGGAGCGAGCCCTTGCAATGCTTGGAGTCAGTTCGCGAGGCGAGGCCGACCCTCTCGGGGCTCGGGCGCGTGAGCGCCGTTGTGCCGCCCTCGGAGGACCTGGACCCGCAACTCTTCTGTGTTCCTGTACGCATGCGAATGTGGTGGCACCTTTCCAGCCGTTGCCCAGCTCCTCCTCCTTCTTCTCCTCCCCTCTTCCTGCTGCGCACTGTCATGCATTAGGGTGCAAGCTATACTTGTAGGGTTGGCCGTGATGTTCCTTGTGTGCGATCGTGCTCCTCGTGCCCACCGCTGCTGCCCCCGCTCCTGACGTTGCTGCTCCTCCCCATTGACCACGCTACCATCATGATCCGCTCCTCGCTCCTATCGCCTTTTCGCCCTACCCTCCACCTCCTCCCGCCTGCCTATTCGCTGAGACCGCCCAGGGCTGGGCCACTCGGGGGGGCCTGTTGAGGCCAACTGGGACGGGCTACTCGGGGGGCCCGGTGAGGCCAGCCGGGACAACTGTGCGCAACCCGACGCCTTACCGGCCCCAGCGCTACCCCCGGGGGCCTGCAAGGAAAGCGCGACCCGCGGCGAGAAGCTTGCTCCACGGATGGGTTCGGGAGCTCTTGGGGCGGCCCCCGCAGTGAAGGAAAGCACGACGCTGGAGGTCTGCCAGGGCGTCCTTCACTCCCTCTCCCGGCAGCCCCTCTGGTCCACTTCGCACTCCCGCCCTCCTCTGCCCTCCTCCCTTCCCCATCGCCGTTCCCTGCCTTCCAGCAGCCCCACTGCTTCCGATCCTCGTTCTTCTCCGACCTCCTCCCTTCCCCCTCGCCGCCCCTTCTCGACTTCCACGCTTCTGCCCAATCCGTTCCTCGCCAATCCCTGCAATAGTTCCCCACGGCCCCTCGAAGACGAGAGAGGCAGTTTTGAGGGGTGCACACTCGGCTGAGCTGCGCGCGTGAAATGTTCGCGGAATGACCTGCTCCACCCTGCAAACCACAATTCCCTGGGCATCGAGGGAATGCTGCAGCGCGCCCGGCCTTCCAGGTGAGCTGGTGGCAAAAAGAGAAAGGTGCTACGAGCCCACCCCTCATTGTTCTCCTGTTTGTCCTGCTTCTTCTAATGAATCTCCCCCTCTCCACGCTCCTATCCTTCTCCACCTTGAACTCACTGTCCTCCTTGTCAGAATCGTTCCCTGCACCCGATGCAGGGTGTGCCGCACTGCCTTCATGTGCTGCTCCTCCTCGTTCCCGTCAGTCCTCGGCTGGAGGCCTCCTCTCCGCCCTCCATCCGCACCCTGCCCCTTGCCGCTCTGGCACTCCTCCTCGCCCTCCTCGCCTCCTCCTTCTCATCCCCCTGGGCCACTCCCTGCAATGGAATGATACCAGAGAAAAAACCCAATCAGAATTTGGGGGGGGAGCTATGGGGCTTTAGGGCTTTAGGGCTATGGGGCTATAGGGCTATAGGGCGATGTGGCCATAGGGATATAGGGCTAGAAGCCTTTAGGGCAATGGGGCTATAGGGCTACAGGGCTATAGGGCTATAGGGCTAAGGGCTATAAGGCTATTCGGGCTATAGGGCTATATACGGCTATATACGGCTATAGGGCATTAGGACCATGGGGCTATAGGGCTATAGGGCTATAGGGCTATAGGGCTATAGGGCTATGGGGCTATGGGGCTATGGGGCTATTGGGCTATTGGGCTATTGGGCTATAGGGCTATCGGAGGTGAGGGGGTGAGATCGAAGTGGAACGGCGAGCCCCCCACCAGGAAATCGGTTTCGGTTTCGTGTTCGTGCGTGCCGTGCGTGCGAGGCGAAGCTGCGTGGGCGGGCGAGAAAAAGTCTCCTGTGGCTGAGGCGCGGCCGGACCAAATGTTTCTCTTCCGGGGCGCGGGGCCCTGCTGTGTCCCGCCGGTGTCCCGCGGTGTCCTCCTGTGGCTGAGGCGCGGCCGGACCAAATGTTTCTCATCCGGGGCGCGGGGCCCCGCGGTGTCCCGCTGGTGTCCCGCGGTGTCCCGCGGTGTCCCGCGGTGTCCCGCGGTGTCCCGCGGTGTCCCGCGGTGTCCCGCGGTGTCCCGCCGGTGTCCCGCGGTGTCCCGCGAGGATGATGATGATGATGATGAGGTGATGATGATGATGATGATGATGATGATGATGATGATGATGCTGATGATGATGATAATGAGATGATGATGATAATGGTGTCCCGATGAAGATGGCGATGATGTTGATGATGGTGTCGATGATGATGATAGTGTCCCGATGATGAGGATGATGATGCTCATGATGATTATGCTGATGATGATGACGATGATGGTGTCCCAATGATGATGATGATGATGATGATGATGATGATGATGATTCCGATGATATTGGTGATGATGATGTTGATGGGAATGGTGTCCCGGCGATTATGTTGTTGATGATGATGATGATGACGTGGATGATGATTACGGTGTCCCGATGATGCTGATGATGATGATGGTGATGATGATGATGGTGATGCTGATGGCGTCCCGATGATGATAATGATGATAATGACGATGTTGGTGATGATGTTGCTCATGATGATGATGGTGCCCCAATGATGATGATGATGTCGATGATGATGATGATGTCGATGATGACGATGATGCGATGGTCATGATGATGGTGTCCCGAAGATGATTACGATGTTGATGATAATGTTGATGATGAGAACGATGGTGATCATGATGGTGTCCCGGTTATGATGATGATCATGATGATGCTGCTGATGATGGTGACGATGACTTTGTCCCGATGATGATGATGATGATGATGATGATGATGTTGATGATTAGATGATGATGGTGATGATGATGCTGATGTTGTCCCGATGTTGATGCTGACGTTGATGCTGATGTTGATGATGATGATGATGATGACGGTGCCCTCATGATGATGACGATGTTGGTGATGATGTTGATGTTGATGAGGTTGATGATGAAGTGATGATGATGATGATGATGATGATGACGTTAATTGTGAGAGCGACTGTGATATCGATAGCGAGATCGATATTGAGACCGAATGTGAGATCGATTGTGTGATCGATTTTGAGATTGATTGTGAGATCAATTGTGAGATCGATCGAATGAGATAGATCGAGTGAGATCGATTGTGAGATCGATCGAGTGAGATCGATCGAGCGAGACCGATAGTGAGATCGATACTGAGACCGATCGAGTGAGACGTTGGTTCCCCCCCGAACCTCCTTATCACCCGAAGGTTGGTCGTAAGGTACGGCTATAGGGCTATAGGGTTATAGTGCTATAGGGATATATGGCGATTGGGCTATTGGGCTATAGGGATATAGGGCTATTGGGCTAGGCACCCCCGGGCACTTCTGGGCACCCCGGGCACCCGGGCACCCCTGGGCACCCGGGCACCTCCGGGCACCCCCGGGCACCCGGGCACCCGGCCCCGGCCACCGAAATCGGCCACACACCTGGGCACCCGGGCACCCCCGGGAACCCCCGGGCACCCGGGCACCCGGCCCCGGCCACCGAATTCGGCCGCCCACCTCACCTCAGCTGTATATCCGCCAGGACCCCTACAGAGGCAAGCTCTGATTGGGGAACTAAACTCTTGGAGGGACCTACGAAGAGGAAACTCGAACTCGGAGGGAGGGTTGATTGCAACATCGTTGATGCGCCTTGGGTTTTCACTTGTCTATCCTCATCGATCCCCGCTGCCTTCTGCACATCCGCCGCCCTCCTCCCCTCCCTCCTGCTCTTCCCCCTGCTCCTCTTGCTCCGCCCCCACATGCTCGTCATGCCCTCCGCCTCCAGCCGAGCAGCCTTGCCCTCGTCCATGGCGCCGACCCACTCGCCGCTGCGGAGCTTGTTGCTGTCGCTGTCCGCGAGCGAGGGGCTGGAGACGTCGGGAGCTATGCGCACCTGCCCACCGTGGAGCTGCCGATCGTCGCTTGCTCCGCGGCCACGGCAGCCCCCCCCCGCTCACTCCTTGCCGTCTTCCCAGACCTCCTTCTGCTGCTCCTCTCCCTGCTGCTCCCCATCATCGTCCCCTCCTGCTCTTGCTGCCCCCCACCCTCTCCTCGTCCTCCTCTTGCTCCTTTTGCCTCTCTCCCCCCCCAGGCTCCGCAGCAGGAGGATCAGGAGCAGCAAGCGGAGCAGGAGAAAGAAGGAGCAGGAGGGCTCGGGAGATGAACGCAAGGGAGGAGTGCCACGAAGCTCGAGAAGGCCCACCACTCCCCCTATGTGAATGAGCTGCCTTTTTAGCAAGTTGGAAATGTAGTGCTCTTTTGCAAACCTGCCAACAACTACCCTACAGCCCAGAGGACTCTGAGACTATTGGGCGCTGTGAGTGCTCTGAATGAAAAAAAGGACTACGGAGCCTGCAATATAATTGACTGCTGCATGCTGTATATGTCCCCCCCTCTCCTCCCGCCTTGATCTTGGTCAGCGCCCTGTAGAACTTCTTCGCTCCCATCGCGACGTGTGGCTGCCTCGCCGCGGGCCTGCGCGCAGCCAAGGCGCCAAGGCGACGCTGAGGCGAGCGAGGGGGCATCTGCGCTGCTGAGTGGATAGCAAGGCACACCCTGACCCCCAACAATTCGAAGCAACCGCGCTGGAGCGTTACGCAAGTCTCGGCATCTGCTGGTCGTTTCTAGGCACCAAGGCCGTCAACAATGATCTTTAATGAAAAGCTGGCCTCCGAGGTGGGGTCGAGGGGTCCTGGGAGCTTCGCTCTCCCCCTTTCACCAAACAAAACGTTACGTCGGACGGCACAAGAGGGGCATGAATAGGATGAGGAAGCCGAGGAGGCGGAGGAGGTCGAACATGAGAGGGGGATCGAATCAAGCACATGGCTCAACCAGAGAGACGAAAAGTCGGGAGCAGAAGGGCCTGGGAAACGGGAGGGGATAGGAAGCGGAGTGGGAGGAGGCGCAGATGAGGGGGGGGGGACGGGGGTGGGCGGAGCAAGCGCAGAGCGGAGGGGATGGGGGCAGGGTGGAGCTCGAAAAGATCGTCGCCCGAGGTCGTGATCAAATCGATGGGCGCCTTCTCCCTCTGATGCCTTCCCCGGTGGGAGGGGGGGCAGGGTGGAGAGGGCGGAGGGGCGGCGGGGAGGGGCTGCCCCTCTCCTCACTCCCAATAATGCCTCGGACGATCCTGGGCCGATCTGGCCATTTTGGGGCCGCCTGGCCCTGCTAGAGCTGGTTAGATTGGGCTCTCTTGGGGGTCTCGTGCGCGGTCTTGGAGGCCCCAGACCAAGAGGCCAACATGGGCTAAATCACCTTGAATTTGTGTAATCAAAAAATTTCCAGCTGCGACATTCACGAGAGCGTTCAAGACGGCCCAAGAAGCAACAAAGATCGGTCCAAGATAGCCTAACAGGCCCCCCGAACAGGCTCCGAAAAAAACCCAATACGGCCCCAAGGAAGGCTTCAATCACACGGAAAGAACACGTTTCGTGGACGCGTGCTTGAACGAAATTCCATTGACACGTCGGGGGAGGAGGGGGGGGCTAAACATTTGGCGCGCCCGGAGAACCGCTCCCCTCCCCCTTCAGAGGGCGAGCGGGTATCGAACCATCGGGCAGGAGGGGGGCTGTCCAAAAGGGGGCGAGGGTTCAAACCGGAGAGGGGGGCACCCCTCCTCCCACCGAAATGAAGTGCTATTCGCGCTCGATTAAACACTCATGGGCTCGCAAGGGCTCGGACAAACTTCAATAGCATCCGAGTAGTGCTCAATCCAACTCGAATTGAATCCTACTACAGTTTGACCTAGCTCTCACTGAACCCGACTCCGACACAATCCAACTCCAATAGAATCATACGAGGGCTGGATCCAGCAGTTCTAATTGAATGTATGTAGGGCTCGATCAAATTCTTATCAGATTCTACGAGGGGGGGAGCAGTTCGCTCCCTCCCCCCCGTAATTCAGAGGGAGGGGGGATGGGTTCGACCTCCCCACCCCCGGTTCGAACCCCCCTGCTTCCCAGCATGCACAGAGCACGCTCTTTCAAAACACGCAACCGCCGCACGCTGGAGGCCGAACCCTCCAACACGCTCCGGAAACACCCAGATGGGCCCAAGAGGCTCAAAGACGCACCCAAGTGGGCAACAGAGGCCCCCAGGAGCTCCCCCAGAAACTCATAAACAGCCACCAGCATATCCTCAATGTTTTTGGAATGCAACACAGGCGCAGTGGCGGGACGGGCCGAAGACCATTCTACACTCGCCCTCTACTTCGCAAGGACGGCTCCTTTGCCCCCGTCCCCTTTCCGCCTCTTGCGACCATGCGGTTCACTTCTCAAGGCTTTCGGACTGGCCAGATGCCATTGCAATGCTTCGTGCTGCCGCGACACTGAAAACAATACATTGCGAAATTGTGTTGCCTGACTCGAGCCCAAGCTCCCAGTCTCCCCCAAACATCCCTCCGGCCCACCCTCCGCCCAAAATCGGTTCCAGAACCCCTCCCAGGGGATCCTGGCAGTTTATCGTCTTATTGAATTTTGAAAGGCCCGGGGCCCGAGACGACCGCTGCGGGGGGCCGAAAATGACGACACGCCACCTCGATTTGACAGCGCGCACAAGGGGGTGGAGGGAGGAGGGAACGCTTCTTCTAAGGTGGCCGCTTCTTAGAGGGCACCGCCCTTACATCTATAGATAAGGCATGCGCCTCCTAAAAACCAGGGTGTTTGGAAGAAGCCTTCCCCCTCACCCCCCCCCCTCTGCGCGTGGCTGATCGGCTGATCCATCCTCCTCCCTCTCCAGCCCCTCCTCTCCCCCTCTGAACAATCAAGAAGTGGCGCCGGGCTACACCTAAGCGTGAGAATCTAGACAGAGATCGGGCGTCAAGTGACGTTTAGAACTCAGAGCAACTATTCATAATGAAATGCGCCACGAAAACATAATCACAGACACCTCCCGACGAACTTTGCATGCACTGTCAGTGGGTGGCACATGTATGAAGTCCCCGGCTCCCAGCGGTAATTTGTACATCGCCAACCTCCCCTGAGGCCAAGGAACATTCCATTGGAGGGCGTCTGCGTATATATATATATATATATATATATATATATTTGTGGCGGGAGGTGGGGATTGCTGTCATAGGCCTCCCGCCAAACCTTTGCCCTCGTCCCCCCCCCCCCTCGCCCTGCCCACGCGGCGCGGCTGGAGGCCTGCCCGCCCGCGGGCGGAGGTGGTCGGCCGCGGGCTGCCCGCAGAACGAGGGGCCCCGCCACACGCTCCTGGACCAGCCGCTCCCGCAGCGCAGCAGGCCTGCCCCCCGTGGGCCCCGCTGCGACGGCGGGGACCCCCCTGCCCATCCCCTGGCGGCCCTACCCAATCCTCCTCCTCCTCCTCCTGCTCCTCCTGCTCCTCCTCCTCCTCCTCCTCCTCCTCCCCTCCTCCTCCTCCTCCTCCTCCTCCTCCTCCTCCTCCTCCTCCTCCTCCTCCTCCTCTCCTCCTCCTCCTCCTCCTCCTCCTCCTCCTCCTCCTCCTCCTCCATCCTCCTCCTCCTTCCTCCTCCTCCTCCTCCTCCTCCTCCTCCCTCCTCCTCCTCCTCCTCCTCCTCCTCCTCCTCCTCCTCCTCCTCCTCCTCCTCCTCCTCCTCCTCCTCCCTCCTCCTCCTCCTCCTCCTCCTCCTCCTCCTCCTCCTCCCCCCCCCCCCCCGCACCACCCGCCCTTGTCGTCTGTGCAGGCCCCATGGAGGTCGCGCGCGCACTACTTGGTGCGCGAGTGGGCGTGCGCGGGGCTGCCCTGAGCGGAGAGGCTGGGAGTGAGAGGGGAGCAGGGCGCCGGGCCTGTGCAGAAGGCGGCGGGGCCCCTCAGAGGCCCTCCCGCCCTCTGGGGAGCCGTCCCCGTTCTCGGAGCGGGCTCAGACAGCTGGCCAGGCCAGATGCCTGCCCCGCCTTTCTGAGGAGGCCTGGCCCCCTCTCGCTGCCCCCTGGGCGCGGCGAATCCCTGCCCTCGTCGTCCTCATCGTCCTCCGTTGTCAACAAACCCCCCACCCCCCTGGACTCCGAGCGTCTTGACAAACATTGCGACAGGCGGCTTCTGGCAGAGTTCGGCCCCGGGCCCCGGGACTGTCAACAACTCACTCGGGATGAAAAATGGTTCCCAGGAAGGCGCCCGGCCATGTGGGAGGCGACGCTGTGTCGAGAAATGGCAACGCCGTGTGGCCGAAGTAGAGCGAAAGCCCTCCGGCATAACTTTGCAGGGTCGCCTCAGGCAACGGCACGCGGGCCGACAGGGGGCGCACCCTCAGCTTCATCTCGAAACTCACGGTGACACGCTGCACTGGACCCGCCGCGCGCTCGCGGCTGGAGGTCCGGTGGGGTGGCCACGGGGCTGGGCCCTCCCCCTCAAGAGGTCGCCGCCCAGGCCTGTCCCGGGGCGCGTGCTGGCCAGGACTTCCAACCCAGCCGTGGCGACGTGACGCCTCGCGGATGCCCTCGACGGGCAACATCATGAATCCTCGAACCTCGCTCCTCCTCCTCCCCCTCCTCCTCCTCTTCCTCCTCCTCCTCGATCCTCCCCTGCAAGGCAACTTTGCATCGACATCGATTCTGGCCAGGCCAAGCATCGGCCAAGGATTGGTCTATACGCCTTCTAGGCCTAGCCGGGACGGCTTATGCACGATTCCTGGGCCCAAGATGGACCTGACCAGGATCGGTGCCAAAGTATAGCTGCAGTGTCCCGATCCCCAAATATCCGAAATCGTGTCTTTGTTCGCAACGCGGCTCCTCAGAGAAGACCTGGACCTCGCCCCAGGCACTAACTTCTCATCCCGAATTGCTTCTTTACGCCCAGCCCCGAAATCCCACCAGCCCTTTGGGCGTGAGTGGTTTAGAGAGCCCGCTCTGTTCTCAACCCCCCTTCTTCCCCTTCGGGGAGGGGTTTACCCCTCCCCCTACCCCCTCCCCTGGGCCTGGAGAGGGCGCCCCGCGGGTGGTCAGAGGGGTCTTTTTCGACTCCTGGGAGGGCTAAAAAACGACGACCCTCACGAGGATTCTGGCCCCGACGAGAGGAGGGAGAAAAAACCCTCTCCTCTTCTGTGAAGCCAAAATCATTGATTTTACTACGGTTTTGGCCCCATTTTGGCCTTCTGAGGGGGCAGCGCTCATTAAAGTTCTCCTCTTCCTTCAAGGCAAAATCATTGATGTTACGAAGGTTTTGGGCTCATTTTGCCCTTCTGAGGGGGCAGCGCTCATTAAAGCTCCCCTCTTCTTTGATCCATTCCCTCCAAGATGGCCCCAAGAAGCGCCCAGGAGGCGCCCAGGAGGCACCAAGATGGCCCCAAGAGGTCCCCAGGAGGCCCCCAAGAGGCCTCCAAGAGGCCCCCAAGATGCCCCCAAGAGGCCCCCAAGAGGCCCCAAGAGGCTCCCCCGAGGCACCCAAGACGCTCCTGGAAGCCCCTGGGGCCGCCAAGAGGCCCCCAAGACGCCCCAAACGGCCTCCAAGAGGCTCCCAAGAGGCTCCCCCAAGGCACCCAAGACGCTCCTCGAAGCCCCTGGGGCCGCCAAGAGGCCCCCAAGACGCCCCAAAAGGGGACGAGGTGCCCGAACGCCTCACGCCACGAGGAGCCCGAACGACTCACACCAGGACGAGGGGCCCGAACGACTCACACCACGAAGAGCCCGAACGACTCACACCAGAAGGAGGGGCCCGAACGACTCACACCAGGACGAGGCGCCCGAACGACTCACACCACGAGGAGCCCGAACGACTCACACCACGACGCGGGCCCCGAACGACTCACACCACGAGGAGCCCGAACGAGTCACACCAGGAGGAGGGGCCCGAACGACTCACACCAGGATGAGGGGCCCGAACAACTCACACCACGAGAAGCCCGAACGACTCACACCAGGACGAAGAGCCCGAACGACTCACACCAAGAGCCCGAACGACTCACACCAGGAAGAAGGGCCCGAACGACTCACACCAGGACGAGAAACCCCAAACGACTCAAACCACGAGGAGCGCTTTCTCTCCCTCCTCCTCCGCCTCGTCCTTCTCCCGCTCCCCCCACAAGGAGGATGTACAAGGAGGCGGGAGGAAGGAGTAACAGGGGAGATATGCGGGGCCAAGCGGACACACGCCTGAAAAACACGACTGTCGGCATGCTTCGCAAGAGTTGCTGTTGTGAGATGGGCTAGTGGGGATACGCGAAGCGTAAAGAATTGCCCATATGTGCTAGAAGGCTGCCAAAAACAACTGGCTGGCTTTCGGGTCACAACTCGGGTCTCACGCGGCCGCTCGGGACGATCCGCGCGCCCCTGGAACGGGCTCGGCAAGACCTGCTGCCGAAGGCTTCCCGTGGACAGGAACCCGCTCAGAACCAACGTAAGCGTGGGATAACATCGGACTTGAACCCAACCGCGAGGAGGTCAGGGTTCCGTCCGACCCGCTGGGGGGAAGGCGGAGGGGACAGGCCTTCTCAAAGGCTCAGAAGGCCTGCAAACTTCTGACAACGAGGCTTCCTAGATGATGTCCGAGTAGATGGGGTCGGAGGATCGCGCCGCATCGCCGATACATCGCCGATGCATCGGCGTTGTATCGGCGACGTCGGCGATGCATACGCGACGTCGGAGGGGGGAAAATCGGGCTCCACATCGAGCTGCATCGCCGATGCATCGGCGATGCGGCGCGATCCCCCGACCCCATCTACTCCGACCCTTTCTGGGAGGCCTGGATGAGAAACTTCCGAAGACTTCCTCCAGATCCTTTCACAGAAGGCCGGAGGGCTTTTGAGAAGCCCCACCGCCTTCTGCGAAGGCCTGCTTCCTCTCGCTTCTCCCCACGGCGTGCCGCCGAGACTGATTTCAGCGGTTGTCCGACCCTCCCCTAAGGGTGGCCCGACCTCCTCAGAAGGGCACCAACTACACACCTACACCGATCCTGGCCAAGCCCATGCTGGGTAAAGGATCGGTGTATCCCCGCGCCTGGCTTCGCCAATAAGTAGTATAACACCGATCCTGGACCAAGGATCGACCCGGCCAGGATCGGCGTTGGCGCCATATCTGGCGCCCTCCGATCCCCTGGGGTCTACGCGCAAGGTTGGCCATGGGCAAGGGTGACCTTGGAAAAGGCGCAGCTTTAAGGGGACCGCGGGGAAGCCAAACCCAAGCGCGCAAACCAATGCAGATGGTGGACCAAAAACCAAACGGCACCACCCCACCTACGACACAGCGATGTTGAAGGTTGAGACGCTTGCCCAAGTACGACCACCTACGACCCCCCTGCGACACCACCCCACCCAACACCCACCTGCGACCCATCGGGCCGTACGTGGGGCGGTGTCGATTGGCTCTTGCTCGCCCTGTGGGCCCGCTCCAAAAAGTCACTCTAGCGAAAGGCCACTCTTGTGCGCAGCAGCTGGGCCCCCGCACCCCTCCCAGCAGGCAGCACCAGCCCAGCGCCCGGCGGCCCGCCGCCGCCCGCCACGCCCCGCGCCGCTCGGCCACGCGCGGCGGGCCGGCGCCGCTCGGCGGAGGGACGCCCCCGCGCGCCATGGGCGGCCGCGCTGGCGGGCAAAAAGGGCCCGCTGCTCCTCTGTACTGCGCTGCAGCAGACGGCGTGCTCATCACCAGTGCAGAAGAACCCTACCAGCAGCGGCCCCTGGTCGTGGCGGCCGCCGACGAGACTGGCCACGCCTCTCTTGCATCAAGAGAGCACGGAGGAGGAGGAGGAGGAGGAGGATGAGGAGGAGGAGGAGGAGGAGGAGGAGGAGGAGGGGGGAACGGTAACCTGGGTCATGGTTGTCATCGCCCCATCGACGCGAAGAAAGAGAAAAGGGAGGAGGAGGAGGACGAGGAGGAGGGAGGAGAGAGACAAAGTGGAGGCAAGGAGGAGGAGGAGGAGGAGGAGCAGGATACAGGGCTGGAAATACAAACCAGACCGAACATCTCATCCTCAGACATCTGACAGACGTCGTGATTTTGTCACTCAGGCAGGCCAGCACCTCTTCCCAAGGACTGGCTTTTCCATCTCGAGTTGATGTTTACGGTTCCCAGGGCCAGGTTGAACCCAGACACCGACAACGGCCAAGACTGAAAGGCAGATTTTACCTATCACCATCGCCTGGGGGGTCGATCTTTGGGAACCTCGGTGGGTGGTGGACATTGGACATTGATATGCCTGGGGTCCCCTGGGCCCGAATAGCACATGCACATCCACCGCCCGCCACTGCACCAGGTCGACCCTCCAGGTGGTGGTGATGGATGGACACATCCCTGCCTCTTAGCTCGCCATCGCTCGGACGTCCATTGCCCGTACATTATTGTATCTCGTGCGCTTCCCGTTTCGCAAGATGGTCCTAGATGCTCCTCGATGGGACTCGCCGAAAACACGAACACACAGGTCCGAGCGATGCCACCTTCGAAAAATAAAATTAGCCTGGCGAAAGGACCCAACCACGTGCAGTTGTGAGTGCCGCAATTGTGAGAATCGTTTTCGGTGCATGGGGCCACAACACGTGTGAGGGGCGTGCCGATTTGGCGAGGGGGGGCGCATGTGAACATTCCCGCTGGGACCTTCGGAGGAGCCCCATACGGGGCCACGAAACGTGTGATTGGGTGTGCCGCAACGGGCGTGACGCCAACATGCGAACTGGAGAGGAAGAGAAGGAGAGGAGAGGAGAGGAGAGGAGAGGAGAGCAGAGGAGAGGAGAGGAGAGGAGAGGAGAGGAGAGGAACGCGTGGCGCTGTCTCTTCAGCACGAGGACCCAGCACCACATGATGGCTGGGATCAACCCAAGCGTCCCGTCGCGATCTGCCTACGGCGCGAGGACATCAGCGCCCCCTCCCCCCCCCTGGCGAGCCCGCGCCGCGCCGCGGGGAGCCCCCCCCTCTTTTGCTCCGGACAGGGCCCGCTGGCAAAAGGCTTCGGGCGGCCCCTCGGCCCGGACAGAGGGGAGAGGGGCGAGGGGCGACGACAAGGGGGGGAGCCAGCCCGAACCCAGAGATCCAACGTATCCCGAGCATCAAGACCGCAGTTTTGGGCTGCGCTCAGCCTCTGGAGGCCCTGTAGAAGCCCTCGGCGGGCGCCGGGGCCGTGAAACACGCCCCAGAATGAAAAACTGGTCCCGGGAAATGGGTCGGCGGGCGCCGGGGTCGACGTATTGAACACATGACGACGTCCGATCTCCGGGAACATCGGCCCGGAATCGGCGATGCACGCCGATTGATCGGCGATGAGCCCCCGGCAGCGAATGCGCAGGTCCCTGGGCGGGGTTGGGCTATCGGGCCCCTGTCGGCGACGACTGGGCGATCGGGGGTCGATGCGTTCCCCCCTGAGCCTATCCCCCCCTGACGTTGCCCCTGGAAGGGGGGCGGCAACAGAAGCAGGGCCGCCGCCGGTGTGCGCAGCCCTTTGCGCGCCCGCGTGGGCTCTCGCGGCGCGCTTGTTGGAAGCGACCGGGGGGGGGGCCTCGCCTCCTCCTGCCCTCGCCCTGGTCGCCTTCCCTGTCCTCCTCTATCCCCCCTCTGCCGTCCTCATTGGCGACCCTTGCCCTCGCCCCTCTTCTGGGGGGGGAGGAGAACCCGAACCCCCGACGTCGTGTCTTTGTTTCGCAGCGCGGGTCCCCAGAGGTCTAGACCACTTACCCAGAACTGGCCGTTCACCCTGAATCACTTTCTGACGGTCCCAGGGGCCGGCTAAGGAGCCCCATGGGGCTGACCATCCTTAGAAAGTCTCCCGTATTGCCGACGCGGCCGCAAGAGACCTTCGCAAGGCACTCCGCCCTGAACAAAAACCCGCGCGCGAGATGTACACGGGGGAAACCCAGAGCACCCAGGACGCAGCAGCTTCCTCAGCGGCTCTGGGGGTTCACCGCGCAAGCGCGCGGAGCGAAGCAACCCAGGGTACCCTCACGGAGAGCATCTGGCCTCTTGCTGCGCGTCCCCGCTGCAACCTCTTCACGACGCGAGGGGGCCTGCGAAGGGAGGAGGGGTGGAGCGGTGGCTGGGGGCACCGCGCCCGAGGATGCGCAAGCCTGGCGGGGCGCCCCGAAGAGGCGCTGCCCTCCTCGTCCTGCCTGTGCTGTCTGCCCTGCCGCTGCTCGCCCCGCCTCTGCGGCCGCTCCTCCGGAGATCCGATGCCTCGACCCTCTCAGCTCCTGGAAGTGAAGCGTTTACGTATGCAGATCCAGCTTTCGGTCGGGCGTGTCCCCCTACAGGGGGATTTTCAACGAACAACAGAAAATACACATAAAATGCCCCAAAAAGGTAAAACAAATATTCAAAACATAATACCCAAACTATTTTTGGACTATTTTGAAATTATTTTTGGGGTATCTTGTATGTTCGTCGAAAATTTCCCTGTAGGGGGACAGGCCCGACTTAAATCCAGCTCCGTCCCCCCCCTGGACCTCAGGGCTCGGATTGCTTCGCCTGCCATTATTGTCATTGCCTCTCTGCTTGCAGTACCAGCCCTGCGGTTGCCTCAATTCGTCTTCCCTTCCACTGTGCTTTCACTTGGCGCCCGTGCGGTGTATTACGTTGCCGCTCTTCGCCAATCGAGTCGCTGGTACCAATTTTCCGCAGAGAGCGGAGTGCCCGCAATCATCTGTCAGTTGTGTGATCGACGAGTCAGATCAGGAGATCGAAGAACGCAGCTCCCCTGATTGGTTCCCCCTCGTCTTGAAATGCGGAGGGGGGAGGAGCGAGGTGGAGCTGCATCGAAGTCCTCCTTCGAAATACGTGGCCCCCAAGGCCGGCTGTTCGTCCTGATCTGTTCCAAAACAGCCCCGGGGCCTTGCAGGGGCCCCCGGGCACAGCAAGAGCCGGCAAACTGCCAGAAACCGCTTGCCATGCTTTCTCCAAGACGCGAGGAGGTAGAAGGCTCCCTATCCAGAGGCCGATCAGATGGGGTCCGAGCAGATGGGCCCGGAAGAGCGCGCCACATCCCCGGCGCATCGCTGCTGCCCTGGCGATGCGCCGGCGATGCCGAGGACGTATCGGGGACGTCGGGGTCGAGAAAATCGTGCTCCACACGGTCGATGCATCGGCGATGCGGCGCGACCCTCTGGCCCCATCTACTCGGATCCCCTGGGCTCCACCTGGACCACCCCCACTCCATCCAGGAGCGCGGGGCTCCATTCAACCGACCCCCCCGCCTCCAGAGCAGAGGCCGCCCGAGCGGGCACCTGCGCGAGCTGCCCGACTCGATCGGGCAGGCCCGCGCCCCGAGTTGGTGCGCGTAGCCTGGGGCAGAGCCCTCCGCCGTTGTCATTTTCGTCGCCGCCGCCGCCGTCGTCGTCGTCGCCGCCGTCGTCGTCCTCGTCGTTGTTGGCGGAGGCGCCGTCGTGGTCGGCGTCGTCGTGCTTGTGGTCGTGGTTCTGGTCGCGTGGTCGTAGTCGTGGTTGTCATCGTCGTTTTCGTCCTCGTCGTCGTCCTTTGATTCACCGCGCCGCAGACGAGGACACCGACGGAATGCGTTCGCCTCCTTTCGGCTTCGGCAGGGCCCTCATGGAGCCTACGAAAACAACCGACCATGGACGAGAACCTGAAGCCCAGGAGCGCCCCCCCCTCTGGGAACCCATTACGCGAAGATATCAGGGTCCTCCTCCTCCCCCCCTCGTCCACGAAGTTTGTTGGAGAACTCTGACTCTGGGGGTGCATCTGCGTTCCTGAAACCTGTTCTGGAACCCCGGGGCACGGGCCCCCCCTTTCTCCACCTCATGCCTCTCACTTCCTTGCGCATCCTCACTCTTCCTCAATCTCGTCCTCACAATCCTCAATCCTCAATATTACACATTCTCCCCCTCACTCTTCCTTACATATCCACCGCATTCCTCTCTTCCTTCCAAACTCCTCTTCCACAATCTTGTCTACAAAGGGCGGGGCTTCGCTTCGACTGATCGGAAACAACCACTCCACAGCTACACATTACGGGTACAACTTTCCTCTTTCCGCTGACGCTGTCCAGACAATGATGGGCCTTCTCCGAATGCTGTTTCTTGACGCAAGATTCGATGCCATCTTCAGGTTGTGTTTAAAGGCTTCCGTTCAATCCCTTTGTTTCCGGTGTTACATAATGGTGTTTCTGATGTAACGTGGGCATTGTTTTCGGCTCGGCGCTTTACCCCCGTGGTTTAAAATGGTGCTCTCGCCCCAGCGCGCGCCATTTTCCGGTTCAGCCTTATTATGCCATCGGTTTGGCCTCCACGTTTCCCTGCCTCCGCTGCCCCCTGGTCTTCATGCTCCTCCCACCCCTGTCACTCCAGCTCCTGTTGCTGTGCTGTTCGTCCTCCTCCTCCTCCCTCCTCCTCCTCCTCCTCATCCTCGTCCTCTTCCTCCTCCTGCTCCTCTTCCTTTTTCCTGCTCATCCGCCACCTTTTCCTCCAATGCACACAGCCCGTTTGTCCCTCCGATTGCGCAAACACGTCAGAATCAATTATGGAATTCCAGCTCCGCCAAAATACGCGTCGTCGGATAGACACAAGCACCCCAACGGGAAGGGATGGGTGGCGCGACCGCGCTTGGCTTGAACAAGAACGTCTTCTCTCTCCACTCCGCAGCCTCGACCTCCTCCTCCACATCATCCTCCTGCGATCGTACCCAGCGGAACAGGACGTTTGCACAGACTGCCAGTGCCGCTGCTACAACTAGAACGACGACGGCTACTACTACTACTACTACTACTACTACTACTACTACTACTACTACTACTACTACTACTGCTACTACTAACTACTACTACTACTACTACTACTACTACTACTACTACTACTACTACTACGACTACGACTACGACTACGACTACGACTACGACTACTACTACTACTACTACTACTACTAATAAAAATAATAATACGATTACTGCTACTACTACTACTACTACTACTACTACTACTACTACTACGACTACTACTACTACTACTAATTCTACTTATTCTTCTACTACTACTACTACGACTACTACTACTACTAGTACTACTACTACTACTGCTACCGCCACTACGATCACTACCACCACCACTACTACTAATAGTAGTGGTATTAATACTACTACGGCGACTACAACTATAACTGCAACTACTACTACTACTACTACTACTACTACTACTACTACAGCTACCGCTACTACTACTACTACAGCTACCGCTACTACCACTACTACTACTACTACTAACTACTACTACTACTACTACTACTACGACGACTACTACTACTAATACTACTACTACTACTACTACTACTACTACTACTACTACTACTACGACTGCGACTACTACTACTGCTACTACGACTAATGAACATACGACTGCGACTACTACGGCAAGTAATAGTACACATACTACTACGGCTACAACTGTAACGCTTCAAAAAACTACGAGTATTACTGCTAATACGACTCCTACTACTAAACTACCAGTGCTACCACTGCGACTCCTACTTAAACGATTGCCACTACTGGTACCACCACAACAACTACTACTACTACGACGGCGACGACTACTACTACTACGACTGCTAGTGCGACGGCTACTACAAATATCTTACAACTACTACAACAAGTGCTAGTCAGACTACGATTACTACGACTACTACTGCTACTCTACTACCACTACTACGACTACTGCTACTACCACGACGACTACTACAACTACCACTACAACTGAAACTTCTACGGTTACTTCTGCTACTACGACGACTACTACTACGACTACCACTACCACCTACCACTACTACAACAACAGCTACTACTACTGGTGTTACGACTAGTCCTGTTACTATTATTACTCCTGCGACGACGACTGCTACTATTACAAAAACTACGCTACGACTAAGAATGGAACTACTAGTACCTACCACTACGACTACCACTACTACTACTAACTACTACTACTACGACTACTACTAACTACTACCACTACTACTACTACTACTACGACTAGTACTACTAGTAGTAGTACTACTACTACTACTACTACCACTACTACTACTACTACGACTACTACTACTACTACTACAACTACTACTACGACTACTACTACAACTACTACTACTACTACTACTACTACTACTACTACTACTACTACTACTACTACTACTACTACTACCACCACTTCAAAACAAATAACACTACTACCGCTACTGCTACCACCTCTGCTACTTCTACATCTACTACGGCCCCTACAACCACTACCACTACTACTACCACTAGTGGGCCTTCCTCTGGGCGTCTTTGAGCTCATTGTACGCCTGCGTGAACTCCGAATCCTCCTTCGCCCTGTCGGTGATCTCCGACGCCTTGGCCGACATCTGCTGCAGCAGCACCGCCCGCTTCTGTGCCGCCTGCTCGTCGGCCCGCTCCTGTGCCGCCTGCTCTGCCGCCTTGAAGTTGGCCTGGGCGTCGGCCAGCTCCTTGCGCGTCTCCTCCACGTACTCGGCCGCTCTGGCCACCGTGCGCTCCTTGTGCGTGATCTTGCACTGCGCCGCGCGCAGCTGGTCATCCAAGCCCTTGTCTGGCTTGGCCGCCTCAGCTGCCTGAGCCGCCTTGGCCTTGGCTCCCTGCACGGCTGCCAGCACCTCCTGGTCCACCACGCCTTCCTTGTGGAGCTTCTCGCAGAGCCGCGCCAAGTCCTCGACGTGGTTCGCTGCCGGCGCCTGGGCCGCTGCCCTTGGCCTCGAAGCTGTCGCCAGAGCTGGCCACTCCCCTGGCTGCGTCCACCAGCCCTGGGCCCTCGGCTGCGTCCACCATTGTGTCTGCCGTTGGCCCTCCTGCTTGCCCTGCTGCTTCGGCGCCCGCTTGCGTTTGTTCTGCTGCCACTGGTACGTAGCCACCGATGACGTCCTGGGGGCCGCCTTGCCACAGCCTCGGCACCAGGTCCTCCACGGGTGGTTGTCGGTTGTGCCGCACGCACACGCCCACAAGGCGCCTGGGTACCCGTCTGCTCCCATGCGCGCAGAACTCGATTGTTGACAGTTGTCAGTTGCTTTGGCCTCAAAGCGCGAACCCCCTCGCGCTCAGAAATCGCCGACCGAAGCCGACTCGCGGTCGTCGGGCGGTTCATAGCCTTGAGCCAAAATGGCTACGGCTAATCGTGCTCATTTCAAATTCTGTTCGTTTCTAATTGTTCCTGGCCCCCTAGTGGCCAGGAAGAGGCAGATGATAGAACACTTAGAAATGAAAAGATCTCCGCCCTCCAAAAAATCATATAAATCCCGAATACTTAGACATGAACAATGTGTAGACCGTCGATGGGATGACCAGGATGGTGGGGTCGGGCGCACGGTTGAAAGCGGGCGCTGCCGCCTCTGCCTTAACCTCTGGTCTCTCTTGCTGCACGAGTCCTAAGCTCCCCGCGAGATCCTTGACTCTGTCGGACATCTCGTCGACCATCCGATTGGTGCTCTTCTGTCCCTTTTCCACCCGTGCAAGCCGTGACTCAGTTTGACGGGCGAGATTGGAGCAGGCATGCTGCACAGCAGACACCCACTGGCCGACAGACGTCTGAATAGACCCCATGGGCTGGAGCAGCTCCGCACGCACGGAGTTCACCAAATTTTTGGAACCGGACTCGCCCCGTGACTCCAGGCCGACGCTCGTCATTACCGCCACGTCCACTTTCACGCCAGCGCCAACGATTGCCACGACCTCCCGCAACTGAACCAGCCGCACCAGCACCGTCGCGAGGTTGACAAGGAAACGTTGGACAAGCCTCGATCTGTGCCGCGAGGACACGCTGCTCCGCCTCCGAAGCAGCAAAAGAAACATTCGCGAGCAGACCTTCGTCTGACGCCTGGTTTTGGCATCCACAACATGGGTCGCGACATGGACACGCAACACCTGGGCGGCAGGTGTGTGGGCCATAGGATCGAATCTGACAAAAGTTTGGGCCAGCCCCTCGGCTGCGATCAGCTGCAAGCCACGGGGCAGTGGCCTGAACTCCTGCCGGCACGGTGGCGGACCTCCTCCTCATCCTCTTTTCCCTCCTCCTCCTCCTCCTCCTCATCCTTCTTCCCTCTTCGCCCGCCCCCTTTCAACTTTCCGCTCGCCACCCACTTTTCCTGCATCTCCAATCTCCTACTCCTCGTCTTCTTCCTCCTCCTTCTCCTCCTCCCCCTTATGATTGTCGTCGTCGGCCTCATGCGCCGCGGCTGCCAGCCGCAGACCGCACAGGAGCCGGCCCTGGGCGACTACATCCGATGAAAAAAAACGAAGCGGCATAAACGTGCAAATTCAAAGGTCCGCGCGAAATTCTTGGATCGGCACTGGACCCCCCCCTCCCCGGCGCGGAACGCTCCGGTGGCGGCACTGGAGTCGCCGCCTAGGCACTGGAGGCGCCGCCTAGGGGGGGTGCAACGCCGGCCCCAGGAGATCCCCGCGGACCCCCGAGAAGGTCACGCCTTGTGGAGTGCGTGTTCCCCCTCCCTCGACTCGGGGGCGGCCAAGAGGGAGGCGTCAAAAAGGGGGGGGGGGGGGGGCGCAAATCATGGCCGGCGGCACGTGCGCGGCCCAAGGGGGGGCCAGGGACGTAGCGAAATAAGAGAAGAGGCGCCATGAAATCTGGGGAAACATCACGGCCCGCGCCACGATGTCCAACCCCCCCTAGTCATCACCCTCCTCTCTGCCGCCCCCGATCGGCAGCCAGTTCGACAGCTAGGCTTGGAGCAGCGGCGGGCCCAGGAGCGGATTGCTCAGGGACCGGGCGACCCCCATCCTCTTCCGGTTCTCCTCGATCGCGCGCCTGCGGCAGGGGGGCCCCGCGCCGCGGAAGGGAGGGCCTCGCCTCCCACAACTGCGAGGTCGGGCGCGTCCCCCATACAGGGGGATTTTGGACGAAAAACAAACAAATACTCCAACAAAAACCCAAATGGTCAAAACATAATCACAAACTAATCCCCAGACTGTTTTTGTTTACTATTTTCGAATATTCCTCCTGTAGAGGGACGGGCCCGACTTAACACAACTGCGCCTCGCCCCTCCCCGGTGCCCCATCCTCGCGCGCCCCAATGCTCGCTCTCTTGCCCCGCCGCGGTACCATTACACCTAAGCCCTGACACCCTCGCGACGAAAAGAAAACACAACCGCGACGGAACATTTTTGGCCGATCTCGGCCTCTGGGGGGGGTGAGTCCTCAACTGAACCTCGCCCCGGGACTGGCAACAAAAACGACGCTGATGACTCAGGAAGGGTGGTTCAGACTTCCCCGGGGGGCCACGCAGCGAAAAAGCACCGCGTCGGTGCCTGAGCATCCCGACGCGAAAAAAAAAAAACAAGGAGAGCGTGCGAAACAAGAACTTGGCGTCGCTGTCCGACCTGTCCCCCCAGAGCGGGGATAGACGCTTCCTCCGTCGGGGGGTGGGTAGGTGGCGCTAGAGGGGAGAAACCCGAACAACTCGTGGGGATGGGAATGGGCCTACCAATGCTGATCGTCCTCACCGACGTCCTTCCAATCCGCAGCCCTCCTCCTGCCAGCAGAGGCCCGAAGGTCGGCGTGGGAGAGGTCCGGCATTGAATTCAGGTGCGATTTGCGTATCGCAGAGCATAAAAGCCCTCTTGCTCCAGCATGGCATACACCCGCACACGCCTACGTCCAAGACAAAAACACACACCTTTGCTTGTGACGAAAGACCCTGAACAATTTTTCGCAGGTCACCGTGGGGGGCCCCGACGGCCACGGTTGGCCACAGACTTCGAGGGCCCAGGCCACAAGAACATTTATCATGACACCGCACACCTAAAGATAATCTTCCTCCGTCTCCTCCTCCCCCTCCTCCGTTCCGCTGACTGGTCGGAGCTAGGAGGGGGCGCCAAACCCCGGCAACATGAGGCTAGAAAGCAAGTCCACGGGGCGTTCGAAGGAACGACTAAGGTCTGCGAAGCCAGAATAGGAAATTAAACAAGTGGCACGCGTGCCCTGGCTCTTGCACAAAGGAGCTGCGAAGGACAGGAGGCCCTCGCCTCCTTCCTCCAGGAGGGGTTTAGGAGGATCCAGGAAGAAAGCGGAGGAGGAGGACGACGACAACGATTTCTGGGGCCTGGCCTGGTTTTGTTTCTAGGCCTTGGCCAAGACTGCCTCAGTGGTTCCCCAAGAGCCTCCAAGAGGTCAGGGGGGCTACCCTGGGAAGCGTGGACAGGGGGGGGGGAATAAAGGGTTCCGTGGCCCCTAGGGGGCTACCCTGGGAAGCGTGGGCAGGGGGGGGGGCGAGGGGGACGGGGAGGGGCGAGGGGGACGAACGACACACGACGAAAGTAAAGTGTCCGTGGCCCAGGGGGGCTACCTTGGAAGCGTGGGCAGGGGGGGGGCGAGGGGTACCCTGGGAAGGCGTTGACAGGGTGAGGGGGGGGCGAGGGGGACAACGGGGGGGGGGGGGGGGCGGGGGGGGGGGCGAGGGGGACGAACGACACGACGACGACGAAAACAAGTGGCACGCGTGCCTGGCTCTTGCACAAAGGTGTCCGAGGCTCAGGGGGGTTGCCCTGGGAAGCCTGCGCGGGGGGGGCAGAGGGGGGGGTGGGCAGGGGGACGAACGACACGACACGACAAACGAAAACAAGTGGCACGCGTGCCCTGGCTCTTGCACAAAGGAGCTGCTGGAGACAGGAAGCTTTCGCCTCCTTCCTCCAGGAGTTCACTTTTTGTGGCCAGGGCCAGGGGGGGGAGGCTGGGTCCAGGACACCAGGGCCAGCGGGGCCAGGGAGGCCAGGACCAGGACCAGTGGCTCCCCAAGAGCCTGGGAAGCCTGGGCGGGGATGGGGCAGGGGGGGGGCAGGGGGACGAACGACGCGACACGACACGAAAATAAAGGTGTCCGAGGCCCAGAGGGGCTGCCCTGGGGAGCCTGGACGGGAGGCCCAGGGGGGCTGCCCTGGGGAGCCTGGACGGGGGGGGGCAGGGGGGGGGCCAGGGGGACGAACGACACGACACGACACGAAAATAAAGATGTCCGAGCTCTAGAGCACAGCTGTGCAAGAGAATAAAGATGTCCGAGCTCTAGAGCGCAGCTGTGCAAGAGAATAAGTCATAAAAGTACCCCTAATCATTTGGGAGGGGACGTGCACCAGGAGGGCCAACAACATCAGGGGCAGGGTAATTATCTGACTAGCAGACGCGTCCGAAAAAAAACACCTATACGCGCAGGGATATCCCGAAACGCCGGGGTGCTATTAGGGTAATTCGGATTCGGGCCCGGGGCCGAACTATACGCAGTGATCCACCGAGGCCCAGGAGCGATCCCCTGAGTGGCGTCTGCGCATTCACTTGTGTGGCTTGCGGGGAGGCTTGCCTCCTCCCAGCCTCGTTCTGAGGCTGCGCCCCCCTTCTCCTCCCCCTTCTCTGCGTAATTCAGGCTCTGCGCGGCCCGCTTAGCTTCGACCAGAAGAGGTGCGCTCTCGACCCGCGAATCAACAAAAAAACAATGGCTTGCGGTTTTCTGGATTGGGGTGGGAGGGGGGCGGGACGCAGCAGTCATGGCAAGGCAAGCCTGGCCAGCCAAGGCAGGTCGTCACGGCCAAAAATCTCGCTGACTCCACGCCTCACTGGCTTCCCGCACCTGTCCTCCACCCCCAATCTCGGCTCCACTCCCGTGTCCGCGGACCCCATCGCGCGAAGACTAGAGGTCAGGGCAGCGCGCGCTCGCACCCGGCCGTCCCACAAGCGACACATCAGCGCCCTCGAGGTCTGGATGCCGGGGCGCGATCTCGCGGATACGAAGCCGCACGGATAGATTCCGCCGGTGGCAACCGCGAAAGAGAGCGCCCCGTAGCCGCGGAGTCGCGGACCAGGGGCCCCCCGCACGCGAGAGGCCACGGATGCGGGTCTGCCTGCTGCTCGCGAGTGACAGAGGTGAAGAATGGCCCGAAGGATTGCAAAAAAACCCTACGAAGGATTGCAACAAAAACCCTACGAAGGTTTTTTTGTAATCCTTCGTGGACCCGAAGGGTTTTTTTTGCAATACTTCGTTCGAGTGACAGAGGGTTTTTTGCAATCCTATGTCCTCGACTGGGCTCACATCCCCCCGACGGACTTGTTTTGGACTTCTCGCGTAGCCTGCGACGCCTGTCGCGTGACCCTCGGAGACCGCCGGGCGACTCTTCCAGAGGTCTCGGGGGTGTCTTTTGGAGCACGCG